CAGTGCTCTGCCCCGCGCCCCGCGCCGCACTCAGCCGCAGCGCCAGTGTGCGGTGCTCGGGCCCCGGCGGGGGTGCGCCGGGCGCGCTCTGGACTGAGGCCCGCGAGCAGGCCCTGTGCGGCGCGGGCCTGCGCAAAACCAAGTACCGCAGCTTCCGCCGGCGGCTGCTCAAGTTCATCCCCGGACTCAACCGCTCCCTGGAGGAGGAGGAGAGCCAGCTGTAGGGGCGCGGGCGGGGAGGCGGGAGGTATTTATTTATTTATTCATCGTAACAGCCAATGCAAAAAGTGGGGGCTGTATCTCCGGTCCCAGGGACCCCAGGAGCCCAAAGCAGCGGGAGAGGGTCCTTGCTAGCATTGGCCAGCCTGGTTGGGTCACCGCTTGTCTCTGCTGAGCGAGGAGGGGGGAGGAGTACGGGCCCTTTCCTTTCCTCCCTGGAACCACAGTGGGAGCCCTGTTGGGGGAGAATGACATAGGGGGTTGTGAGAGGTTCGAGGGAGCAAAGAGTGCACCAGATTACAACCTGGGTAAGTCGTGCCTTGTGGGATGTCCAGGAGAATTCCCCCACCCGGGGTGGGGGCCCTGTCCAACGAAGCCCTCTCCTAAGCTTTACTAGCATCCCCTACCCTTAGCCTTGGGGAGAAGAAACCTATGGTGGGTCATTCCCCACCCTACACCTTTCCAATTGGACCAGTGGGCCCCACGGGGCAAGATGCTGGTCCCCTCCCTCCAGCCTTGACCCCTAAGGGCTTAGCCTCTCCCTGGGGCTTGTAACTAAGTGGGGTCCTGCCAGGCAGGGGTCCTGGATTCTGTGCCCCTTGGGGAACAGGAATGGCTCATTCAGGTCGCAATTGGACAGCGTAGACTGTTCTACCATTTTGCATATGTTGCTTCTGAACCACAAACTGTATAAAATTGACGGTTTTTTTGCATCTGTGTCAGCATGGTAACTGCCTGTGGGGGAGGACTGCTTTCGGGCAAGCTCTGACTCCGCCACGCAGCGCCTTCCAAACACACACACTGTATTTACATCTTACTTTCTTGCCTCCTGAAGCCAGGGAAGTAGTCTAGGGGGTTTTAAGGAACATGCATGGGCCTGAAGTGAGGCCCCACACCCTCTTCAGAGCCTGGGCCTCTTGTTCAAGTGCATTTTTGGAGCTTCTCTCCCCAGATACCCACAACAGGTGTAAGCACCATTTGACTGAAGTCCCTAACTGTTGCTGTGGGAATAACTGGCTAAAGTTGTCTGAAGTCTTTTTTGAGGGCAGAAGCCATAGAGAACTTAGCCATAGTCCACCTGACCTGTGACGAGTTCAGTCCCTCCATTGTTCTAGAACTGAAAGTTTCCAGTTCTTCCAAAATGAGATTCTTCATTCCTATGCTGCCCCGTTTGAACCATGCCCGCCTCATTTCTTGTCTCCCTCTCTGCTGTGGCTGCTGGCAGTACCTGGCTGCAGACACCTCCCTCCAGGTCTCTGCACTGGCTCTTCCCACAATGACTCCTTCAGTCTTTGATCTGCCTGTGTAAGGCCTGCCCACGCAGTCAAACAGTCATGCCCTCTGTGACAGTGTTGGTTTATTTCCATCACACTATGTATCACCATCTGGAGCTGTCTTTTGACTTTTATGAGTTTGGGGTTTGGCCTGTTTGCCCCACTTATTTGCAGCAGAGTTCAGGGACTTTGTTTTATTCACTGCCCTATTCTTGCCCAATATTAGTACATAAGACTTTTAATATGATGTTACTCAAAGCATCTCCAAAATGTTACCACCTTTCTTGAAGTGACCTGATGAGTAACATTTAAGTTTGGTCACACAGAAAGCCAGTGGCAAGTAGGGTCTGGCACCTAACATCCCTGCTCTATAGCAATGGCCAGCACTCAGCTTCGGCTTTGAGAGAAGTCTAAATGGACCCTTCCCTGGGCACACTTACTGTACTTCCTTTTGTGTGAGTCTTCTACTTTTCCCATCTGTCTGCCATCCTTCACACAGCAGTCGGTGATTTTTTCAAAAACGGAAGCTCAGAAGATAGCATGACTGTGATCCCAGCACTTGGGAGGTAGATACAAAAGAATCAGGAATTCAAGGCCAAGCCCAAGTACATAGCAGGTTTGAGGCTAACCTGGACTACATGAATAGACCTTGTTTCACAAAAGGGGGAGGAGGGAGCTGGAGAGATGGCTCAGCATTTAAGACCACTGGCTGCTCTTACAGAGGACCCAGATTTAGGGAATCTGATGCTCTTCTGTCCTCTTCAGGCATTGTGCAACACAGGTGCCCTTACATCATGCATGCAAAACACTCATACACATAAAAATAATAAATACAATATTTTCAATCATCATAGTACTTACATTTTTTTCTGTCCATCCATTCTTCTATCTCTGAAAAGTCTATAACCTGTCTTGTTCTCCAAAGACCAAGTCGATGTCTAATACGGTGGATTAGTGCCCGATACATGTTTATAACTACTTTCAAACTAGGTCCATGATACAAAGCCTACCAAAAATAAAACAGACCGTAAAGCTCTTCATGTATTTTCTCTCTTTACATATATTTGCGTGTATGAGTGTATTGCCTGCATGTATGTAAGTGCACCCGTGTCATGCAATGCCTGCAGAGGACAGAAGAGGCCATCGGATCCCCTGGACCTGGAGTTACAGACAGTTGTTAGCTGCCATGTGGGTGCTGGGATTCGAACCTGGGTCTTTTGCAAGAACAACCAGTGTTCTTAACCACTGAGCCATCTCTCCAGCCCCATAAAATATTTCTTTAAAAAGAAAGAAAACAAACCAGTGAAAAAAACTGAGCAGGTAAAGCACCTGCTGCCATACAAGTCTGGTGACCTGAGTTTGATCCCTGGAACCATAGCGGAAGTAAAGAACCAACTACTAAAAGTTGCTCTCTGACCTCCACACGCATGCCGAGTGCACCTGCAACTCAAAACAGATGCATTGTACATGCACGCACAATAATGATAATTTTGTCTTTTTAAGACAGGGTCTCCCTGTAGCCCCAGCTGGCCTGGAACTTGCTCTGTAGACCAGGCTGGCCTCAAACTCACAAAGATCCACTTGTACCTATAGCATCCCTCTAAATAGTTGAATTACAAAAGGCATCCCTTTTCGGCTGGGCGTGGTAGCGCATGCCTTTAATCCCAGCACTCGGGAGGCAGAAGCAGGTGGATCTCTGTGAGTTCGAGGCCAGCCTGGTCTACATCGTGAGTTCCAGGACAGCTTGGGGCCACAGGGAGACCCTGTCTCAGAAAGACAAGAAAAAAACAACAAAACCATCCCTTTCTACCTATCCTTGGGATCTGGCCAGGCAACTCGGCCACTAACTGCTCTAGTGCTATACAACACTTACCACATATTGAGATGCCCTGAGAGGGACCTTGTAGGCTCTGCTCTCTGCCTCTCCTGTAGTCTCAAATTCTTCCTCCTTCCATGATATTTAAGCCACACTCTTCCTGCATCTGCTCCTCAACTGCACCAGGCTTTCTCCTGCCTCTGGCCTTTGCCTCCGCTGTCCCCTCTGCTTGTAATGCTCCTTTTCGGACTGATTCTTTGCCCTAAGATCCCAACTTAGCATCACCTACTCAAAAAGACCTCCTTGAGCCGGTTGTGGTGGCGCACGCCTTTAGTCCCGGCACTGGGGAGGCAGAGGCAGGCGGATCTCTGTGAGTTCAAGGCCAGCTTGGTCTACATAGTGAGTTCCAGGCCTGCTGGGGCTACAGGGAGACTCTGTCTTAAAAAAAAAAAAAAAAGACCTCCTTGAGACCACTGAAATAGATTCATCCCATTCTTTTCTTTTTTTAATTCTTTTCTATCTTTATGTGTATGAATATATTGCCTGCATGTATGTAAGGGCATCACATGTGTGCAATACCAATGGAGGCCAAAAGAGAGTGTCAGATCCCCTAGAACTGGCGTTATGGACAGTTGTTAGCTGCGATGTGGGTGCTGGGAACTGAACCCTGGCCCTCTGGAAGAGCAGTTAGTGCTCTTAACGGCTCAGCCATCTCTCCAGCCCCATGACCTACTATTCTTGATCTCAAGTCCCTTGTTTCCTTTATACTATTTTCTCCAGTTTGGTAATCATACTGACTCCTTGCCACCTTGATATTCTGTTTTGTTTCCTGAGGCATGGCCTCACTATGTAGCCCTGGCTGATCTAGAACACTATAGACCAGGCTGGCCTTGAACTCACATAGATTCACTAGCCTCTGCTTCCCATGTGGTGGGATTTAAGTCGTGTGCCACCACGCCTGGTCTTGTCTTGATATTCTTTTGTCTGTCTTTTACCATGAGGAGGGTAGGCACACAGCCTTGTTTAAAGTTGCACCTAAGGGCCTGGTCTTGTCTTGATATTCTTTTGTCTATCTTTTACCATGAGGAGGGTAGGTACACAGCCTTGTTTAAAGTTGCACCTAAGGGCCTGGTCTTGTCTTGATATTCTTTTGTCTGTCTTTTACCATGAGGAGGGTAGGTACACAGCCTTGTTTAAAGTTGCACCTAAGGGCCTGGTCTTGTCTTGATATTCTTTTGTCTATCTTTTACCATGAGGAGGGTAGGTACACAGCCTTGTTTAAAGTTGCACCTAAGGGTGTGGCTCAGTGCCAATGCACTTCATGAGTGAGGTCCTGGGTTCAATTTCCAACATGCCAATAAATAAATAAAAGATGAGAAACAACCTGTGATTCACTCAGTAAGTAAAGCTAAACCTGAAGGGCCTAACGGAAAGCCCACCCACAGCAGGTGCTCATTGTAAAAGCAAGGACCTCCTAGAACCATCCCTGCACAGAGGAAGCCACTGCCTCCCCACCTGTCAGCCCTGGGGGAGACAGCCCCTTCTCTGCTCCACCTGCAGCTGGCATCTGTGGGCCCCTCTCATGATGTCCCTTTGGGGCTAGGTGGTGGATGCTATTGGGGCACCTGCACCTGGCCACCACTCCTCTCTTGTTCTGGGAAGGAGGGGCATTGGTGAAGAAAATGGAGCTTCTCCAAGCTCTGTTTGAACAGCTGCTCTGCAGTGACGAGAAGTACCCCTAGTGCTCAGGTCTCAGGGAGGAGACCCCTTTGTTCCCAGAGCCAGGGGCTGCCAGCAAGACCAGCTGCCTGGCACAAGTCAGCCCTTACTCGGCATGGGGGCTCTGGGCCTCAGTGGCTTTCTCCTCCCCGAGTACGTTCCCATCCCCTCTTCTCACCAGCCTTCCCTAAAACCAGTTGATCTTGGGAGTGATGTTAGTTAGCATCCCTCACCCAGGTTAATGGGGCTCCTGGCCGGCCTTACACACTCAAAAAAGGGGGAGGGTGGTCCAGGGCGGGACTGGATCCCACATCTCAGCTGATGGATGACGGCACCAGCCTCCTGCCGTGTAGGTGGGTGACAGGGAGTGACTAATGTGCGAGCTGCGTTGCTAAAAATTAACCCAGGGATCGTGTTTGGTGGAAGGGGTGGGGGTGGATGGGAAAGGAGCAGGGACTGCAATATTGCGTGGTCAGTATTCCCTGGCCCTGCCTCCCTTCCCTTCCCACCAGCCTTCTGCTCCGCCCCAGGCCAGAAGGTGCCCACAGAAATTTCAGGGAGGAGAATGAGCTCCATTGCAGGTATCACACATGGTGGAAAAGGACACAGCTCTCCAAATGCGGCTCTGGTCTGAGGTCTCCACAGAACCCTCCACCTGCCCTATTTAAATGCACAGCATAATGGCTTCTTGTCCCTGGATCCTCTGGCTCTGCCTACCTCCCAAGGCCAGAGAGGGAAGGCTCCTGGGAGCAGGGGTATGAGCACAGGGTGAAGAAGATGGTGAGAGTGGATTGAGCCTGTAAAGCTGTGAGACCCACTTGTGGGAGGAGAGTGGGAATGGGGGAGGGGTAAATGAAAGGTGGGACTTGAAAGAGCAGGTCTGAGATGTGCTAGATCACAGAAGGAGGAGGACATCAGGTTAAGAGGGATCGAGGTCCCATGTGAGTGGGAACAATCCCATTACAGTAGGGGAGGGGGTGGGCTCTTAGAGCTTGGTTCTGGGGCACATAAAAGGGCATTGGGCATGGAAAAAGGCTTTGTTGGCATAAGTAAGAAAATCTGATAAAGTGACCCCACAAATACTCTCATTTCCCCTGGGAACCAAACCAGAGAACTTAAGCTGAGTGACAGGAGGAGGAGAAGAGGAAGAAGGTAGCAGGTGCATTCTGCTCACCAGTAGCCACTGGTGAGACTGAGGGAGTGAGGGAGGTTATGGGATTCCCCAATGTCAGGAGAGACGTCAAGCTGAGTGATGGGGAAGTGACTGGTCCTACACTCCGATGAAATATCCTCAAGGAGGAAATGATGCATTCAGAGAAGTGAGAGATGGGGCCACAGGGCTGTGCAGAGGACAGGGAGACCAAGGAGAGTTCTTCAACGTGTTAAGACAGATGAGAAGCCCCCAGCAGAGCAGCGTGCTGTCCCCTGGTGGTAACCTCAGAACACTGCACCTCTGAGCTCTGCCCACACAGAGAGAGCATGGAAGTAGGCAGTAGATCCATCATCCTAGAGCTAGGACATTCTCTCTCTTCTTAGAGCCCACCCCTGTAGCCCTTCCTGGGTCCTGCTCCATACTCCAACATACTCCAAGAATTTTACATCAGAGTCACTTTGATGCCCTCCCATCAGGTCACCACTGCTTCTCATGACTCATTGTGTACTATTAAGGGAGGGTCCCCACCCCATTTATCTCTGTGCCTCATTCTTACCTCAAGCCTGACACTGAGCAGCCACTCCAACAGCAGAGATCAGAGGCAGCTTTGTTCCAGTGGAGGAACAAACAGCAAGTTCAGGACATTGAACTTACTTGATTTCGACCAATGTACTTGTAGTCTGACAGCTTGCGCTGGACAAGAGGGAGTGACACTTGCTAAACACTAATTTCTGACCTAGGGAAACCTCCTAAACCCCAGCCGATCTCCCCTTCCTGGAGGCTGGCCTTTCAGCAGAAAACATGCAACTGAACAATTGTTTATTTTTATTTTATGTGTATGAGTGTTATGCCTGCCTCTGTGTAAGTGCA